CCAGAGCTCGAAACCTATCCAACTGCAGAGAGGTGTAAGACAGGGTGACGTTATATCCCCGAAACTCTTCACCGCTGCATTGGAAGACGTTTTCAAGCTACTGGACTGGAAAGGATACGGTATTGACATCAATGGCGAGTACATCACTCACCTTCGATTTGCCGACGATATAGTCCTTATGGCAGAATCGCTGGAGGACTTAAGCACTATGCTCAATGACCTCAATAGTGCCTCCCAACGGATAGGTCTTAAGATGAACATGGACAAAACAAAGATCATGTTCAATGTCCATGTCACACCTATGCCGGTAGTTGTTGGGAGCACTATGCTCGAAGTTGTTGACGAATACGTTTACCTGGGACAAATAGTCCGACTAGGTAAGTCCAACTTCGACCGAGAGGTCAATCGACGGATTCAACTCGGCTGGGCAGCGTTCGGGAAATTACGGCATATCTTTTCGTCAGGTATACCTCAATCTCTAAAAACTAGATTGTACAACCAGTGCGTGTTGCCAGTGATGACTTACGGATCTGAGACGTGGTCCTTCACTGCTGGCCGTATGAGGACGCTTAAGGTCGCTCAGCGAGCTATGGAGAGGGCTATGCTCGGAGTTTCTCTGCGTGATAGACTCAGAAATGAGGATATCCGCAGTAAAACCAGAGTGACCGACATAGCCCAACGGATTAGTAAGCTGAAGTGGCAATGGGCCGGCCATATAGCTCGAAGAACCGATAACCGATGGGGAAGAAAGGTTCTCGAGTGGCAGCCTCGTACCGGTAGGCGTAGTGTAGGGCGACCCCCCACTAGATGGAGTGACGACCTGGTAAGACATGCAGGAAGTCGATGGATGCAGGTGGCTCAGGACCGTGCTTTGTGGCATTACTTGGGGGAGGCCTATGTTCAGCAGTGGACTTGTGAAGGGCTGTAATGATGAATGATGATGATGAATGAACTTAAGTATGAAGGACGATTCTACTGTTAGTTTTGTCTGTTTCTAGAAGAACAGGTGCAATAATTTGCACTGGAACCAGGATAATGAGATGAGACTACTATACCGAAGATTTTAAGCGTTGGGACGTATAAAAGCAGTTACTTTCCGGTAATATAATATGAAGTAAACATATTTTTAACAGAGTTAAGTTTGACAAAAGAACACACAGTCCATCTGGATAGCAAGCGGATCCTGTGTTCCATAGACTACGTACATCTATTCTTGATTGAATATTGAAATGCAAATGCGTTGTGAAAGATGGAATGCAATCCTTCGATACCAATAAAAAGTGTTTCCGGTTCTTGTCACTCATCATACGAAACAACAGCACTAGTTTGTTTTTTCAAGCTGTTATCATGCACGTGCGGGCCGGCCCATTTGTGCTGCAGTTTATTATCTTATAGTACGCTGCCAGTGTGTAAGATACCTAACCACGTAGGTATTGCACACATCGAACGCGGAGATGTAGTGCTCTATTGTCATCGAATCAAAAAATCGCGATCCACTCAACTTAAATCACTGCCACCAGAATAAGTAAACCGATAGCTAGAAGAGATTAATACTTCTGACGCAGTTATAAGGTTATTATTTAGTTCGATTATTATTATAATATAATAGTTTCACTTGGACGTCACTTGGTCGGTATTGATGTGAATAAGATATTTTTCGAAAAACTGAACGTATCACTTTAATTTTTTTATTAGCTTTAGATTTTAATCGCCTTTTGAATTTTACTGTTGTAAACCGTCCCATTCATTAATATTTGACAATTTTATTCGGTAAGAAAATACCAATCACCGGTATCAAGCAGTCAAAAAAATTTAGTATTAATTAAACGGAAACAATTTTTTCTATCTTTAAACGAAATACGTGTTTTGATAATTAATAAAAAGTAAATGGTTTATTCAAAACATTACATGAGCGTAATGATTTCTTATATTTACGCGAACACTACACATTGATTAAAACTATTTTTACGGATTTTATCGCGTTTATTTTACTATTATTTTTAATAATAAACTATCGTTCTATTCGTACCCGACGTTTATTATAAATATATACTATATATATATATTTATAATAAACGTCGGGGCGTTTCGGGCGCTTTCCAGCACCCATGGTCACGGGAGACTGAGATGACTGACGTCCCGATGTCATTGTTAAACCCGGAGTACCTTCAGCTTTTTTAATTATTGTTTATGGTCCGATCTATGCAAAATGAACTATGTCCTGAGGTCTTGCAGTGGTGTGCTTGGGTTTAGTTTTAATTTTATTGATTATAGGATCCCAAGCAGGTGGTAGTACGCATCCTACATCCATCTACGCATCCACATATTATTATGCGTGAACTGTGTGCTCATTGGTCACCTTGACTATTAAAAAAAAACTTTGATATTACGAAAGTAAAGATATTTTAATAAAATGACGGTATTGGCATTGATCTTCCATATTTTCTTAGTAGGTTCCTACAATGATGGTACCTAGTTATTTGCTTTATACTGTGTACTTTGCCATGTCTGGGACTTCTAAGCTACGCTGCATTCATAAGTATTCCTTTTATTTGTTGGTATTACGTAAACGAATGTTCGCGCCCTTTGAACAAAAGACCGCTCCGCTTTTACACAAGCTCTTTATGCTTGTTAACTTCAATTAACTTTTCATTTAAGCAGTAATGGTGTTGTTATGGTATGATGAATTAGCACCATTGTTGTTATTAATACGTATTAGAGCCGTAGCGTATAAATACTATATTTTTTCCTTCTCTCCCTCGAAAGATTGACCACATTTTGTATACAATATTATTATAATGGTTGAATAAACGTGGTAGAGCCAAGCTGCAGTTATATTAGTTGCAGCACGAATAGGTCGGTTCACAGACCACCCAGGTAGGCTGGGTGGTCTGTGGATCGGTTAGACCGTGGTAGGACCACGCTCTCACAGAGTACAAATTTCAAATAGCTGTTCAAGACTGCTATGTTTGTATGGTGAGTGTAGAGAACCGGAGACCGTTTTTCCTGGATACGACAAGGCATTCCATCTTAGTCATCAGGGGTGACAACGCAACTGCATTTTGATTCTTAATCTAGGATAAATGTGGATGTCTATGGGCCACAGCATCCACTTACCATCAGGTGGTCGGTGTGCTTGTTTGTAACCTGTGCTCGTGTGTGTAAAAAAATGTGGCAGTTTAAGAGAATCAATCACTCTTATTTGTTCCGTAGGCGTCGTAAGAGGAGACCTTGAACGAATTAACCATTCGTTCAAGGAGGAGACTATGGAAAATACCACAAAGACCAAATGACATCCGATGGATGAGGGCGCAAACTATCCTACAATAAAATGCCCAGATTGGCAACTGGAAGCAGTGTCATATTTACGTGGTGTAATTCGATCGTTAATACGCCAGCCAAGTGTTAGGCCTGCAACGGGAGAGGCCTAATTTCAGCAGCGGACTTTGCAAAATGCTGATGACGTAGAAAAACATTAGTTTTTTGAATCTGCTACTATTGCATTCTAATTTCCTCATAAAATACAACCTATCCCAAATCACATAACTTATTAATCATTACACAATCATAGCTTATTAATTCTGGCTATCTTCAGATTAGCAGTAAAGAAAGAGGTTTTGGAGTGATATGTTTGGCTTGCAGTCTATAATTATTTTTAGGATTATTCCCGGCACATCACATTTGATCTTTCTTTCATTATGTTAACGAAACTTTCCAAACGGCACTGAAAAAGTGAGTCCGAGTATCCATGACTTCAGTAACCTTCTCAAATAGGAGTAATGGGACGCTTATTAACGTTACTTTATTTTTTATTCATATTATATTTTATAATATGTTATTTGCCTACTGCTTATGACTCATTGATCATTTAAAAGTAAGACATCTAACGTAATTTCGTTCGCAGTGTTTTATTTTATTTTAACTTGTATTATTACAATAAGATATATTATATGCGATTGTGTAATGCCTTAGCAATAAATATCACTCATTTGTCTATCACTAGACAACATGGTATAACGAGCTTGGAGCTTGTTCTTGTCGTCATTAGGATATGATATAGATATACTATTATGAAACATTTTTTGTTCTATTAAGCTTGCACAAGGACAGAGTATTTAAGCCAAAGAAGCTAAGTACTAAGCAATTGGAATCGATACACGAATGGGGGTACGTGGGCCCTGATATCTATCTACGTACGGTATATTCTTATGTGTATTCCGAGTCACAAATGAACATTGGCGCCAAATAATGTCTTGATTAAATATGTTTTTTTTTTAATTTTGTGACGGCCAGTGACGCTTATTGAAGATATTTTTTTCAGATTCCGGAAATTAATTGTTGATTGAAATTTTTTGTCGCCAATTTTTTTTTCGTTATACAGCATGTAATATTTCAGAATGAGGTGCTTCTTCTTCCAATGTCCTTGTGTTATGTCCGTTTAGTCTTCCGCATTACCCCTGTAGTCATATCATCAACAGTACACAAAGCATTCATTTTAATGAAACCCTTATGTATCAAGGCATGATGAGTGTTGTTTTAGTATAAATAAGTAGGACTCGTAAATTTTCTTACATAAATAGTTATAACTGTCGGAAGAAGCTTTTTTAAAATGACTATTGCATAGCACTGTTATTTAATTTACAAGTTTGCATCTTTGTGTTATTTATTTTGATATTTCAACAGTTGGATTGCATTTTTTCTCAAAGAATTTGTAGGAAATGTAACTGAACACGATTTTTTTAAATTATCATACCTATAAAACATTGGCATTAAAATTTTAAATGTTTTTCAACAATTTTATTTAGTCTGGTTTCTCTTGTAGTAAATAATATTTGTTTTTAGGGCCGGTATTCATAGACAATTTCGAGTTTAAGCTCAAACACCAAAATTTTAAAATTTTGATTGTTTACGTATATATTAACACTGAGAATTGACTTTGGATACCGGTCTTAACTTCCACAAAATTTGCGTTTGCTTACAATTTGTTAAAAACGCATTAGCGAGTTCGAGGTGCCGTCGCGTCACTTCCCGGGGCAGAGCCATGTATGGCGTGTATCAGGATGGCTGCAACGCGGCAGGGCACGGGCTAGAGAAGAGTTATATTGCCACGTGGCGAGGGCAGTTGCACTGGTGGTGGTAGTGGCAAGAGACCGGCTTCTAAAAGACGAACCCTTGTCTGTGATTGCCGGTGGGAAGGCTTTACTACAGGGACTATATAGGTACGTAGAGATAACTGTTAAGTAATGTTTAATATTTTTAATATTGTTAAGTGTTGACCCTTTACAATTGCTTGAATATATCAATATGTCAAAAATTCTGCAGAAAATACCTCTAGAGATAAACGTTCTTTTTCGTTTTTCCTTTTTTTATTCGTTTCCTTACTAGGATTTTCTCCTGTATTGTGTAGGTAGTTTAAATAATGTTGCGCGCCATAATTCATGCTTGGAACATAGCGAGTTACCACTAGCGCTATCTAGTATCGAGTAGCAGAACTAAGAGCGTCAAGATCTTTCTAGAAAATTCCATACTATAACTTTCTACACCTAGTCGGAACCGGTGTGTAATCGAACATTCTAGATGTTTCAGTAGAAGCGGCCTATATAAGTCCGGTAAGGATATAATTGCGAACTAAAGTGATCAGCACTACAGTTATGTTTTATTATTAGTGTGTTTTAAGTTATAATTGGTTTTGGGTAATTAAAGTGTATATATTTATTCTATTCATTTGCATTTTATTTTGTTTTATATCATTATTATTTATTTATGAAGTGATTTATTACACCTGCCACAGTCTCTCAAATCATCCAGGGTTGACTGGCAGAGAATGCCATAAGGCATTAAGTCCGCCCTTTATATCCCTTAGTATATAAGGTGTATAATGAAGATTAAATAAATAAATAAAAATAAATTAAAGTGTCAATTTTGGTAATTCAATCGGCTGTTTTCACTGTCACGAACCCCAAGCTCGTAACAATAATATACATTTCACAAGGACAAACATCCAGACAATGAACAATTATTTGTAGGCATCGGCACCAATGAAATTGTTAATTGCAATTTAAATTGCTGATTTACCTATTACGTGTAGAGATACTGTAAAATAAAACGCCTGCTCCATAGAGCCTATATATACGCTCCACTGGTGATTTTGCCCAGTAATTACCTCGTTTAAGAATCAAAATGCAGATACTTTGTCACCTCTGACGATTTTTATGAAATGCTTCGTTAAAAGGGGCTTCCGGTTCTCTATACGCACCATAAAAAACACAGCAGCATTAAGATGCTATTTTATACTATTATTCCTTGAAAGCCTGGTTCATCCCCGGTCGAGCCTACCCACTCTTCCCACGTTATGATTATTAATTATATAATTGATTTAATTAAAATTTTTCTTTATTAACTTTGTATACATATTACAGATTGCTCGATCTCCTCATTGGTATGCCTTCACTTGAAGCTCGTGATCTTGAGAAGAAAATCCGCGAAGAGAGATCGAGATACTTAGTGGCGGAACTTATCTGTAAGGTGAGAAAACATTTTCATTGTACTGTATTCTATTATCTTCATTATTTTTTATTTCATCTGTCCACGACGTCATTATCACACGAGTTGGAATTTATGCAAGATAATGTATAGTGCTGTTGCGGGCTATAATTAGCGCCTGGTATGTGATGGCTGATTATTAGCGTTATCTGGTATCAAGCAGCAGAAATAGGAGCGTCAAGATCTTCGACTTCGATCGACTCCCACTAGCGCCATCTAGTATCGAATTGAAGAACTAAGCTTTCTAGAAAGCTCCACACTCGAACTTTCTGCACCTGGTCGGTCGGGGGCTGGTATTTGCTGAAATATTCTGGATGTTTTGGTAGAAAAGGCCTATTTAAAGCAGTTTATGGGCGCGACCGGGCAGTATTGAATTGGCGATACGAGCGAAGCTTTTTGAGCGAATTAAAGTGAACTAAAGTGTTAAGTGTGATTAATTATTAGTGTGATTTAAGTTTTAATTGGTGTTCGGTAATTAAAGTGTCAATTTTGGTAATTCAATCGGCAGTTTTTATTGTCACGAACCTTAAGCTCGTAACAGTGCGATAAGTGACAAAATTTTAATTTGTATTTGTATCTCTTTAATGGATAAATCGTCAGTTACTCTGACTTTGAAGAAAGATTCAGTGAGTTTATTTAAAGTTATGTAGCAGTAGAATTTAGATCTAGACAACTAAGCAGTTGGGTTATTGGGCTCATTTAAAATAACCCTTATAAATCTCGTTGTGTCCGCCTGTACTAATGCACAATATTATAACTTTTAATGGGTTTGACATATAGAGATAAAAATAAAAGCTTAATTTTAAGAGCAATATATATTACAAATATACATTATATTAATTTACTTGACCCCTAAATAAACAGCGAAATAGTATAAAATATAATCTCCATTTTCTATGTTGCCTGGATACGTAAATATCAATTTTGAAGGTCTTTATGTCGTAAGAGGCGGCAAAGGGAAATGAAACAGATGGGCAGCAGAATTTTTCTAATAACGCATCGTAATAATAAAAAAACTCAGGTTGCCGCACTACCTGCTAAAATACCAATGAAATTGTTAATTGAAATTTTAAGTGCCGATTTAGTACGTGCTTGACGGTAAAGGAAAACATCGTGAGAAAACCAGTTCGCCACCACGCAGTAGGCCACGCGGCGGTCATTTTCTTACCCTAAAACCCTCACAGAAATGAGAGGAGGCCTGTGCCCAGCATTGGAACTTATATTGGCTGTCACTTTTTTTTTAGTCTTTAACTATGGCAAATGTGGACTATATGAGGCAATATATAGGCCAATGTTCAGCAGTGAACGTGTAACGAATGAATGAGATACATAATATGATGTGTTATGTCATTACTTGTGCCCACAATAATGTTGTGAGCCATTAAGTATTCTGTTTGTGACGGGTTAGCCGGAGCACCGCGAGGACATTAGCGCGCTGGCCGCGTGGGTGGGGCGCGCGATGCGCCGCGCCGCCGCCGAGAAGAGCGATGCGCGCGACGCGCCGCGCCCGCCGCCGCCCGTGCCCTGCCTCTACACCACGCCGCAGCGCACTCAGGTACTGCTCGCGCACGCACACGTACACGTGCACGCACACACTGCACGCACACACTGCATGCACACGTACACGTGCACGCACACACTGCACGCACACGTACACGCTACGCATCACAACCCCACATCGCAACACTACTGTAACGTGTGCATATGCGGCGCACCATATATACCTAACTTTGTTGACATCAATATACGTGGTAGAGCTACGCTGCAGGGATCGACCCGGTCGGCCCAATCGGAAAAAGACTACGGTTTCATGTCATATCAGCTTAATGCCATTGTATTTCGTATAGTTTATTTACCCTTTTACTTGAAACGAGGCATTCCATCTTAATCCTTACGGGTTACAATTACAATGCATTTGCATTTTTTTTATTAATCGAAGATAAGTGTAGATGTCTATGGGGCACAGCATCCAATTAGGTGGACACCACGAGGTAGACTGTGTGCTCGTTTGTCGCCCTTATTCTATAAAATAAAATGAAAATACTATACAACTACTATATTATATAGCTATTCCTGCAGATTTTCTCGCATGGTTTACGCGTTACCAAAATCATTTTACACAAATATAGATTTTGAGATATTAGAATTAGATATTAGAGTTCGAGATCACCTTCATGTCCGTCTGTCTGTCACACACGTTTTTTTAAAACTTTATAATAATATATTCACTCTGTAAATTTTGAACAGTGTAAATATTATATTGGTAATAACTCGATCACAGCGCCACCTATCGAATGCTAGCATAGTTATAAACTATCGTCTAAACAAACCAAAAATATATTGTGGAAATATTATGACCTCAATTGCTCAAATCGTTCGTAATTGCTATAAACATTTAATACAGTATAAAGGTATATTTTATAGATTGTTTCATTTAATATATAACTTATTAAAAATCACTTATACATGGTAGAGCCACGCTTTAGCGTATTATGAATACAGCAAGAATGGGTCGCATTGACCGATATCGAGGAATTCCAACGTAGTCCTCAGGAGTAAAAACGCATTTTGATTATTAATACAGGTGGACCTGAGATTATACAAGCGCGATATACTACGTCGCGCGGCGGCACCTCTGCAGGCGATACTGGAGCGCGAGTCCCGCGGCTGGTTCCTGCACTTCAGGGAGCGCAGGGCTGCCGAGCTCGCCAGCCAGAAAGTGCCCTTGAAGGATATTGAAGAGGTATTTGCACATTTTGTTGAAGTGAAAACTTCTTTAGAATCGTTATTATTTAAAATTCGATGAAAAGCGACACTGAAAGGAGACAAACATATATATCTATAGGATTTAGCCTGCGAGAGAAAGAAATAGAATTTAATAAACGATGTGCCCATTATCTCGGTCTCCTCTTTTAATATTACTTGTAACTGTTGAAATTATTAGTTAAAAAGTTAATGGGCAACATGTCTGATTAGAAAAGTCCAACTTTCAATAAGAGGTCTATCGATAAACTCATTTCGACTGTGCCATATTCGGATAAAATTACGACATATTTGGTCCAATGGACCACAGAGGCTAAAACATAAGTGTACACCCTGTGTTCCTAGTCATGACTTATGGAATCGAAACGTAGTCTTTCAGTCTAGCCGTATGAGGAAGCTCAGTCAGTCAGAACACACAGTAAGCGATAGAAAATGTTATACATTTATAATGTTAAAGGCAGCACTAGTTGTTGTCTCTGGTTTTGTTTATGGTTATCCGTCAGTTGAATTAGACGCATGGAGGTTAGAGAACAGGAGAACGATCGCTACGTACTAAAACATAGCTCGCCTGTCCTTGAAAATTTGTAGAATTTATAGCGGCGCTGCCGTCGATGAGTATTGGCTGCGAAGTTAGCTGTTTATGAGTACAAGTAGATGAAATTAGTTGAATAATGTACAAATTTTCTTCGCGGCATTGGTGAGAAAATTTTCATGCTCTGTAATTTTTTAATTTTTGACAAAAATAAACATTAAAAAATGGAGAAATATTTTATTGTGCTTGGATGTGCAAGTAGTTTAGCATGTAATCGAAAAAATGGACTGGAAATTACTTTTATTGGGCGAACTTAGCAGTCGTAGCGCCTCACTTATGGTGTCCATATTTCTGAGACACTATTTTCTACGGCGATCGTTCTCCTGTTCTCTAACCTCCATGATTAGAAGTATAAAATATAAAACCTTTTTTCATTAACACATGGTCCTATTAATTAATTACATTTCCTATGGTTAAAGTATGATATGTGTCGTTCATTGTAATAGTGAATTATCTCCATGCAATGAAGTTTTGAGAAATTAAGAGTTTTGTTAATTAACGCGTAGAAAAAAAACTACAAATTTTCATTCAATGCTTTATATTTGTTATTATAGTTAACAAATGAAATATTATAATAGTATATAGTTACTTAAAACTAAGACGAAGTTATTTTAATGAAACGAATTATAATTTTTTTTTGTGGACTTACTTCACTGTTAAAGTGACGAGTTATACTTATTGTGATTTCGTTAAGTGGTTAATCGTAGGTTATTTCGTCATCAGACGAACGTTCATCAGCATTAAGAATGCTTGACCGTGTTGGAATGTCTACAGTAAGATTTTTGTAAAATTGATGGTAAATTGGTGGAATGTATGGGAGAAGATCAAGCATATCCTTCTTCTTAGCAATAGTGACTGGTCTTCCTGAAGGATAGAGTGGGCCTTGTTGAATATTGTACAAGTAAGCTGGTCGTCCTTGTTGCTTTTTTGATAGATCTACTTTGTAGAAGGGCATGTCAGCGTTGAGCGTTTCTTTAAATTGAAATTGTAAAGGATGATTCCTCTCAAACCTCAGCCATCTAATATTCAGCCAGTTGAAGTCGTAACCACAGGTTGTTTTTTTTTCTGTTGGTAATACATTTTTCTAATGCCGCAGTGCTTTTAAATTCGGAATTTTTTATTTCGGTTACAACAAAATGTGGTTCTTTGCGTTTGGCTGTTTTCATGATCTCAATCCATTGATCCGGGCTATAAATTTGTCCATGACGGCGACTTGCGCTCTCAATTATCCCAAATTCCCCATCATTAGGCAAATAAGAATGCCCGGACACTAAAAACTTGTGGTCTATGGTGGTTATACTAGTATCCGGGTCTTGTACGAGCTTTAAAAGGGAAAGGGTAGTCTTAATGTTTCGATTTTGTCCAGTGCAAGAATCGGAATACATGATGACGTGATTTTGTGTTACCGCGTGAGTTTTTAAATGTTTCACGAGACAGACTGCAATGTCTTGAGACCCTCGCCCTCCTTCTATCTCATTCCAGACGTTCATGTACCCCGTGTTGTTATTAAAACAATGTATTCCCAAATTATACAAATACAGATTCCTTTTATAGTATGCTACCGAAGTAGTTAATTTTGGGAAAGCTAAAGCTTTCTGCAAATCAAAGGTTAGTACATATGCGTCATTAATCTTTTTAGCATCAATTTGTAGATTTTCTCTTGCCGAATCTGCCTTTCTTTGATGAAGTTCCTTTTGAACTTCAAACTCTTTCTTCACGTTCTCGTCATCGGTGCCTCTAATTTTAAAATTCAAGCTATCGCAAGTCTTACATGTATCCTGGTGCGGTGCCTTGAAATGTAGATTAAACTTGGTGTTGAAAACTTTATTATAATATTTTAATTTTTTAGGTTCTGTCATTTCAGTCAAACATTTTTCTTTATATAGATCGTACATCTTTCGAATAGTTAGCCCAGGATTTAAAAACTTCCGGTTAGGATTACTTTTTCTTGTGTAATGGCTTTGGTACGCGGGAAAGCTTTGTATATGAGCAATAATGTCAGAATCATCTAATTTTCGAGTACTAGTCGTGCCTCGTTTATCTTTACATTGCGAGACATCGCCTTTTGATAGACAGCGATATAATCTTCCATCACTGATTTGGAATGTTTTCAAAAAATATTTTTTACATACCAGTTGTGTCATAATATGAGATTTGAGAAAATACTTAAACGAAACGTTTTTTCCTGCTCGTGACAGATCTTTAGGTCGTTTTCTATTAACAGATGCTTTTTGCACTAATGCATATAGAAAGGCATTTTGCTGATTAAAGTCCTTTAAATTCCAAAATGATTCGAACATTTCTTGCCTTTCATTTTCTGTAAAAAGCGTATAACACTTTTTAGGACATCCACAGTCAATATTTTCGAAGATTTTGGTATTTTTCTCCACTCCTATTTTAGTTACATAACCTTTTCCACTATTACGCAATAACTTTCTTTTATTAACTGTCCAATTTTCCTTGTTGATTGACCTTTTTCTAGATTTAGATGTTCCAGGTTCTGATAGACTAGACGGCATCATAATATTTTCGTCACAACTTGTATCTGTTTCTGAAACAAGTATAAAAACGAAACCAATAAAATAATAGTGATTTCTAGGACATAACTAAATAGAAAATATATTCTTAGATATCGTATTTTCTTGTCTATAAACTTGAAAGTTATCACAATATTTTTAGGTTAGAAAAACAACTAATAAAAATATAACTTACCAGATTCTGTATGAATTTCTCCAGGAATAGGCTGATATTCAGAACCAGAATCACTAAAATCTTCTGTATTAGACATATTTTATTAAAACCCCACAAAAACACCGACTTTGAAAATCCTTTTTTAATAATTATCACAACACGTACAACGGATGACAACAATCGGTCGCAATAAAAGTGAATCAACTCCGGACTTACTTCATTATAAAAGTGACTTGGGACATACTTCACTTTTATAGTGAATAACAGTACAAATCTGTTCCCAGACTAAACAAAATAGCGACATCTACGTTACTTTAGTGGTATCAGTGGAGTTGCTTCATTTTTATATTGAAAGATATGATACATTGTAAGTCCACTATGGGAAAATAAAATTTTTTTAATATTATGGAGTTACATCACTATTACAATGACCGACACATATAACAATTGGCGACGAGCGCAAAACGAATCAAAACGAGTAAAATTATTTTGTTTTTTATTAATTCCTGTACCAGATTACGAAATTAAAATTGAACGCAAGGACCAACGTCTAACATAATTCCCCCCATGAGGCAATTTATGGGGAGGCCTATACCAGCAGTCAGCCCGTCAGCTATGTACTTTTAGAGGCTGTAATGGATGGATGCATTTCCTATTTTGTATTTCCTTCACTTTCATATTGGGTCTGTGGCACAGAAGCTTAGCAATAATTGCAGCGCTAAGGATGGCAATTTCGAATCCCGCACGGAAAAAGTATTTGTAGGGCCTACAAATAATTAGCCTGTTTCTTCTGAAGTTTTACAAAAGATCCGCCAGAGGCCCCACTAGTGTGGAGGGAGGGTACATGTACACGCCCTTAGTTGCCCCAACAAAGATCGATGGGACCAGGGCCCATGAGTCGTCCTCTCGACGAGCAACCAAGGGCGGAGCCCAAGTGGCCTATGGATAACGATTCCAAAAACGGCTGACAAAAAGGCAAGCACCACTTACCGATTGCGGAGTTAGGTTTGACCACGGGGTACCTGTCAGGTGATAAGTGATGTGCATATAAGTAGTGTGTAGTAATGTGTACAATGTGTAACCTGACATCCCCGCTGATCCTGGATTGCAGATTCCAAGGCGCTGCCTCTCCAAATGTGGGATCCATCCAGGGGGGCGTTCACCAATTTCAAGCTTCTCGCTTCTATTTTCACTATGTTAATTTATCAACTTTATTGTACATTTAACTAACTTCAAATTCAACCAAATCAACGTTAATCGACATTAAAACAAGTGACACGCTGCAAAACTTAAGGAGGGTTGGTCAAAATTCAAAGTCCCAGGTTCACTTAGCACAAAACTATAACTACGAGAAGAACGCGGTCTCTTCTCGACGCCCAACGTTCAGCGTTCTCTCGACAAAGTAAAAGTCTTATCACGCTATCAAACGACACGACGCACTAATAACTCGTCGATGCAATTAACGGCATAAAGGTTCCTTTAATCACTCCAAACTACAAGTGGGTATCTTGTCACGTAACACTTTCTAAACAGACAACAAACATGATTAAAACTACTTTTACGGATTTTATCGCGTTTATTTTTGCTTTTAATTACTTTTATTTTTAATTCCCGACGTTTCGGGCGCTTTCCAGCACCCATGGTCACGGGGGACTGAGATGACTGACGTCCCGATGTCATTGTTAAACCCGGAGTACCTTCAGCTTTTTTAATTATTGTTTATGGTCCGATCTATGCAAAATGAACTGACTATGTCTTGAGGTCTTGCAGTGGTATGCTTGGGTTTAGTTTTAATTTTATTGATTATAGGATCCCAAGCAGGTGGTAGTACCCAGCCTCCTTCTCTATTGAAATTAGGATGTTTTTTAATTTCAATAGCCTCACGTATCATCCTTGGTAGGAATCGGTGTTCTTTCGCGAGGATTTGTGGTCTATCAAATCTGATGTAATGGTTGGGGCCGTCCAGGATATGATCACAAACTGCAGACTTCCCGGAACGTTGATGCTTCACATCAGCTATATGTTCTTTTACGCGGGTTCTAATTGATCTTTTTGTTTGTCCTATATAAGAGAGACCACATTCACAATCAAGCTTGTACACTCCTGCATCTTGTAGAGGAATATGACACTTGACGGATGGTAGGAACTGACTAATCTTCTTCGGCGGCTTGTAGAATGTTCTAATAGAAGCTCGCTTCAAGATATAGCCAATCTTGTCTGTGACACCTCTGACATATGGTAGTACAGCAGGCACACGCTCGACTGTGGCCGGCTTCACTCGGTCACTGTGACGTAGGCGCGGGACCCGAAGCTTGTTGTCGTGCAGAACTTGCTTGACGTGCTGAAGCTCGGCGGCCAGGTGTTTGCTATCACAGATCCCTCGTGCTCTCTGTAACAAAGATTTGCCCACGGTAGCTAACTGGGAAGGATGGTGGTGAGATTCACCGTTTAAATATCGGTTTGTATGGGTCTTTTTCCTATACACAGTGTGACCAATGGTGTTATTAGGATTTCGGATGACTAATACATCTAGGAAAGGTAAGGAATTATTTGCCTCTAACTCCATAGTAAATTGAATTTTAGAGTTTATGGAATTAAGATGTTCTAAAAATGCAGTTACTTTGTCTGATGGTAAAATTGTGAAAGTATCGTCTACGTACCGCTTGTAGATCCTTGGTGTAACAGGTGCAGTAAGGAGGGCTTTCTCCTCAAAGTCTTCCATGAATATATCGGCGACAATGGGAGATACAGGTGAGCCCATCGCAACACCATCTACTTGCTTGTAAAACTCTTCCTTCCACAATAGATAGCCAGATGTAAGGCAATGTCTTAGTAATACTGCATATTCTGCTGGCATGTTATTTTCCTCTAGTTTCCTAGTTATAATTGAGATGCAGTCTTCAACAGGTAGGCATGTAAATAGAGACTGAACATCAAAACTGACCATGGTTTCATTGTCAGTAAGATGTAGGTCTTTTATCTCACTGACAAAATGGTATGAATCCTTAGTGTGTGCTCTTGTGTGTCCCCTGAGTGGTGATAATATTTTAGCTAAGTATTGAGCCAATCTGTAAGTTGGCGAATCAATCTGACTCAC